AGGTGATAATTATGCTAAAAATAAACCCTTTATGGAAAACTGTCTTGAAATATATCTATTTAAAGTACAGGTCATTTCAAAATAAATTATCTCCAAAGTATAAATAAGTCCTGAGGAACATTCGTACTGCTTTGCTGTCATAATAACATTTCACATGTGTCAAAAGTGAGAAGCCAGACTGCTGCAGTAAAAGCCAGGGCACAAATTAGAACTGGTGCTTATATGTATGGCAGACTCACCATTTTATAACTGCAGCATCAAGTTGGACCAGGATTAACCATGTTCCATAATTATGTATGCTAGCAAACTGCCTGTCATTATAAATGGGGGAGACTGGAGGAAAGAGAAAGAGAGTATGTATGCCAAGCCAGTGAGACATACTGGTTAGAATGTTAAACTGGGATATGGGAGATCCAGGTTCTAAGTCCCAGTTCATTCATGATGCTCACTAGATGATTTTGGGCCAGTCACTGACTCTCAGCCTAACCCACCTCACAGGTTTGTTGTGGGATAAAATGGAAAGGAAGTCGATGCTATAAGCTGCCTTAGGTTTCTTTGGGGGGGGGGGAGAGTATAAGTAAATAAAATATTTATACCAGTTTCTAGAAACCCAACAGCCATGTTCAGTGAATCTCAGCATTTTGCCCCAACAGTATTTTGTCAGTCGCATCTAGGCTAGCCACAACCAGAAAGAAAGTAGATTGTGTCCTCACATCAAAAATGTTTGCATATGCAGTGCTTTACCTTTCATGTGGAAGTAAATTGCAACAATTTACTCCAATGGAAGAAGTAAATAGTACTTGTGGAAATAACACTGGAATAAATAACAGGATTTCCCCTGTAATTTGTATCCCAGATTCTGGTCATGCTAGAAGATAACATAATAGTGGAAATAGAGATAAAGAGGAACATATTTCCTTTTAAAGCGTTTCTTTTTCTCAATGGGATCAAACTGTGCTTTTACAGTAACAATATACATCACTATTCAGTTTCCCGATTTGCTTTCTCTGTGACTGAGTTCCAAAACTGAGATTGTATTGAGTTAGAATCACCATCTGGAATTTTATAGTTTAAACATGATACTACAGCTGCAGGTCTGTATATAAACTCTGCCTGGGAATTTAGGAAAGTTTATTACAAAAAAGTATTCAGCTTTAGTGAACAGAAGATGTGGAGGTGAAATGAAACATAAGGATTATCAACCTCAAAAAATGGACTGCATTGTAGAGACCAGATCCTGAAAACAAAAGCTTTGTAAAGTAAGCCCATGCTTATATAAATACCCCATAGCATTTATAATAAAAGAATCCCTGGCTCTGACTCTTGTAACAGCAAAATGTGTTCTCCATTAAACATTTCTCATTAATATTTGATGTAGACATCTATTATCATTGTATAGAAATGCACAACATTGAGATTAATTCTAAATTATAGCTATTGCTAACTGTGCAAAATATATTTTTGCTACAACTCACAGTTTTAAACCATGAACTGAAGTTTATTAAAATGTGCTTTGGAGTAGAATCTGTTTTACAAATCCTCCACTAATATATTTTTAACATTTTAGGGAAGTCATAAAATGGGAACAAGTCCTACACTTCAATTGCAGCCTCAGTTATAAACTATTCAATGAACGGTAAAATTTTCATTTCAGTTGTTAAGTGAAGCAGAAGCCCTCTCTTTAATCTAGCCATCCATATATCTTACATACACTGTACTTGGAATTTGTCCAAGTACTTAATACTTAGACATATAATTTTCACAGTGTTAACTATTAATGAACAATGCAATGTCACAGTAAGGAGTTATTATGACATGTTCTTCATTTTGTTTCTTCATTTATATTACAGTCCCTGTATATAGTAAACTATGCAGAAGAAGATTTTCTTTTCCTGGTAACACAGTTCAATTCCTGTCTGGCTTAGAAAGACCATAGGGGATTTAATGGCTCCAGTATTGGTTATCACGTCCTTCTTCAAGGGCTGAATTTCAGTAGATTTTTATTTTAACTGAGTGCCAGACTTGTGCTCAAGAAAACTCTGTGTGGTTTTAAGAGTGTGCACAGAGTCTACAGCTATGTTCCACTTCCAATATTGTGCAAGCCTGGTCTTGCTTTTATTTATTTGTATGTATGTATGTATGTATGCCATCCCATCGCATAGCCTCAGGACGGCTTACATAAATAAGAAAAATACAATAAAACATAATACAAATAATGTAATGTATTTTACTTGCTGTTTGCATCTCTTTCCCTCATACACTTTTTCCTCCTCCTACTGTCTATTTCTAATGTTGTCCTTTTCAAAATTTCCATCTGTTTTATCCCTGTAGCCTCTCTAATCTTTCCCTCTATTTCCTTCCTACAGTACTGCAATTTAGGACTAGTCTAGATGCTTCCTAAATACGTAGCAAGCACTGCATATCAATCCTTTGCTTATTCTAATATCTAGAATATACATATAAGTACCCAAGAGTCAAGGAAGAGACCAGTCTTAATGGAAATCACAGCACACAGAGAGGGAAGGCTTATCTTTTCCCTACCCAGTGCCATTTTCATAATCCTCAACCACACATGCAGCCAAAATGCCTAAGGAAAAAGCCTCCATTACAGTTCATTGTCACACAATGTTCTGATGGACATTAGCTTAGGGTAAAATTGTATATTTTGTTAAAAATATTGTTCCAGATGCAGTCATTCTAATGGGACCCCCTGTTTGAGCCGGATCCAATAAAATTTGGATCTTCCTCAATTGTAAAACAAAAAGCAGGGGAAGGAAAATGACAAAGCTGTTTGCTATGTGTTTAACATGCAGCTTGGCTTCTTTAAAGAGAACGACAGTTATTTGTGATATCTAGATTGAACAATATATTCAGTGGCAGTATATGAATGAGCATCAACAGAGGGGAGCAGCAAAAGAGAACTGTACGCCACTAAGAAAAACTAGATGCTAGACCCTATGGACCTTTTTCCTGATCAGAAGCTCTCTTATGCTCTTTTCCTTCCTGTGCAATTCAGACAGCCAGTGTGGTGAAGGTCAAGAGTGCTGGAACTCAGGAGATCTGGGTTCTAGTCCCCACATAGTCATGGCGCTAACTGGGCAACTTTGAGGCAGTCAAAGACTCTCAGCCCAACCACAGGTTTGTTGTTGTGAGGATAAGATTGGGAGAGGAAGATTTCTGAAAGCCACCTTGAGTTCCTTGAAAGGAAAGTGGGTGGGATAGATACAATATCCTTCATTGGAATCCACCTAAAGTTTTAAAGTGAACTCCGGGGGATGGTGGAGGACAGGAAGGCCTGGGGGAGTTGTCCATGGGGTAGTGATGGGTCGGGTGTGACTCTGCAACTAACAACAACAACAACAAAAGTTCTTCCAGTCTTAACTAAGAATTGCATTGCATGCAACTCTAATCACAGATACGGTCACTATTAGAATTTCTAATATCTAATGTATAAATTTTGTAGCAGCTCAAATGAAATCTATAGTGGGAAAATCATCCTTAAACCAAGCAATTTCTGGGCATTTAGTGCATTTCATTATTCTGAGGCATCATATAGCTGAAGTTGAAACAGCAATTACCTAGGAAAAACTGCAGTCTGGCTATATTTACTGACAGTAGTCATGACATTAATTACTTTAAAATGAACACTTATGAGTCATTGGTATAAATACTGCATTCACCAATTAAAGATAACTAAGAATCTTACATACAGTTGGGTTTTTAAAAATTAAATGAATACTTTGGAATGTTAGAAAAAGATTCCTCACATTCTTGTTATTTCGTTAATGTGACCTCATTAATAGCTATATTGTCCATGTTCTAACTACAAAACAATGCACTTCAACATGTTACTGAAGCTAAACAAGAAATCTTTGTATAGAAAGAAACATTTGGTGGGTGAGCATTATTTTTCCTTTGTACTATCCATGAACAAAGAAGTACAGGAGTGCATCCTGCTGGACTCAAACAAAACTGCAGAGTTACATTACAGGACAATTTTAAAACCCATATTGATGTGATACCTTTATTAAGCCAATCAAAAGATCAGAAACCAATGAAAGCTTTTGAGATATCCAGATGTCTTCATCAAGTAAGATGGCCAAGAAAGGGTGGCAGATGGATAGTTACAAGGTCAGACCTAGAGCTTCCCCCAGGGATTTTAAGTATGTATAATAACCCCAAACATTAATCTGCAGTGACACTGAAATCCAGCCTAGCAAGTGCTGAATTACTTTTAGAAGAAGCAGGGATGTGAACCAAGTCTTGCCCTGTTATTCAGCCTACTGTTCTCATCAAGGCCTAGGAAATCTCAACAAAAAAAAATCAGATATTCCATGTCAGCTGCAGCCAATTGTGTGACATTTTGGGTTTAGATGAAGCATTTTAATATCAAATATGCTGGGCACATGCTGCAGAAAGATGGGATGGATTTGGTATTATTAATGGTTTTAATGGAATGCGTCTTTAGCACAAGGATTCCCTTTTTGGGCAAACATTTTCCACAGTCCAAGTAATATCATACTTTGAACATCACCAAAGAAATGCAAGTTACTTCCACTTTCTCTCCCTGCATTTCTTGGTAATCTGCTGAGCCACTACATTAAGATCTTTTCCAGATTGCTTCATTCAGATAATTTTACAAAGTACATGAAGAACTAAGACCCATATTTCCATTCTTGGAATATAAAGGTCAACTTATGTACATCCCTGTAGGTGAGATGTGCAGCTTCCCCCTTCCCCAGATGGTCTTTATTTCCCCTCATCATGCTTTTGAAGAAATAGTGGTAAATTTATTCATACTTCTTCCTTCAGGATTTCCCATTGATATGAGCTTATTAAGAGGAAATTTCTTCAGTTCAGTACTAAGGGATCAAAGGCCCTTATTATTAGGCCAATAATGTTCGGTTATTTCCTTTCTCTCAATCTTCCCCACTCCCATTAACATCATAAAAATGGTCTCCATTCATAAGCACAAAGTGGATTAATTAAGGAGAACTTACTGATATAGTATTCTTGCACACTGCTCGTGTAACCATATATCACAGAGTAACCAAAGATCACGACCATGACAACTTCCCTGTTATCCAGTTCCACTATGTGTGCAGAATGACCCTCAACTGCATATTGCTGACCATGAACAAGCACAGCAGGAGTTCTGGTGCTCCAAGTCTGACTGGGTATGTTGAAAATCCATAATTCATCAGTGACATTCCCAGTATTTGTTTCAATTTTGCCTCCATACATGTAAATGTCATCCTATTTTAAAGGAAAAGAAAAAACAAGCATGAGATAAGGGTAAACTTCTGTTACAGTACAAAACCAAAAGCATAATAAACTCTGGAAATGTTGTATTGCTGGCATACATAAAATGGAATTTAACCTGGCTTACAGAATATTTGCAATTTATGTGGCATTTCAGCATTGTATACAAAGAGTGAATACAGTTCAGTTTCCCCCAGAATACTTGGCTAAATACACTATCATTCTTCTTCCAATGTTAATATCAACTGGACTGATTTAAGTGCATCTAACAAATGAGAATATACCTTCCCTACAATCATATGATCCTTCAGAATAAAACATTTCCAGTGCTTCCTTCAAAAACTACAAACTTACTCCTGTCTCCACACAAGCACCTGTCATTTTCCTTGCACACCAATCTATTGTTTTTTCTCATGTTTTGTTCTGCTCCCAATCAGTACATAATGTCCATACCTGTCAAATTCTATTTCCTAGTCTCAAAAGAGTCTTCCTTTAATGAAATGCAGTTCCTAATAAATGACCTAAACATATTTAACTAAAATGCTTGGGTGTTTATTACTTAAACCTATCTGTTAAGTACTTCAGTAATTAACAGAAATGAACATTGTGATTATACTAGCTCTCCTAATATCCAAAACTCAATGTTTTTACTTGTGGCATCTTGGAAGCAGATTCTCCCAGTCACTCCTGCCTAAAGAGCAAGTTTAAATTGCAGCCTTCCTCATAAAAGAAAACATTTAAATTACATATATAATACATTCCAGGATAAGACAAACACATGAATGAGCTGCAGTGTTGTTCCTACTTTGGAATAAATTCCTTCACCCCAGTGCTTCTTTCTTTTCAGTGTATAGATTTATAGAATTTTCATGTATATGATTATGCCTTTGGGTCATTTATTCAAAACACAACATGTTAAAAGGCTTGAAACTAGAAACAGAATGAACTGCTACTCTTTTAAGTAAACATTAGCTGCTCCTCCTGTTTTGGGCTTGCCTTGATACTTTGGAGCAGTTTTTATAGACTGCATAAAAAAGTCCAAATTCAAAAGATGGCTATCACCATATAAAGAAAAATCAAAGCATGTACTTCTTGTTTTAATTAATCAGATAAGGAAGTATAACTATAATGCAAACAATTTGGGTAGGAAAATTCTTTGTAGATGTGCAAGTATTAGAACTGTTGGCTGATTTCAAGTGAATTATTGGGAGTTTGAATAAAAATAGAAAACAGTTGTGAAAGATATGCCGATCTTTTAGCTTAACTTGCCCTATATTTTCCAAAGTAAGGCGAGATTAGTCAGTGTTATATTATCTGACTCAAAGGAAAAGGTTGCTTAATAAACTGACAAGTCGATCTAGATGGAAAGGTACCGTATTTTTTGCTCTGTAAGACACACCTTTTCCCCCCTCAAAAGTAAGGGGAAATGTCTGTGTGTCTTATAGAGCGAATGTGGGCGTGCCCAACGCCCAGGATGCTGCCAGCCACCTGCACCATGTGCCACCACCTGGCCGGCACGCACTCAGTGCACCCTGCTCCGCCCCCCCCCTCCGCCGCAGGTGAGAGCTGTGCCGCTCAGGGGGAGGCGTGCAGAGGAGGAGGAGCCATGGCCTTTAACCCGCCGGCTACACAAAGAGATGGACTGCTCAGGCCCACCGCCCCGGAAGACCTGCTGCCGCTGCCGCCGCCATACCCAGAAGACCACCGCCAGCATGCTGCCAGCCCCATGTGGCACCACCTGGCCAGCACACGCTCGGCGCGCCCTGCTCCGCCCCCCTCCTCCAGTGCAGGCGAGAGCTGTTAATCACAGGTTGGTTTGTGTTTTTAAATGGCAAATGAGGCCCATTTTAACGAAGCCCATGGGGAAGTGATGGGGAATGTGCCTGTGATTATCAGGAAGCTTTCCATGGATCAGTTATCTGTTAGTTGATCAGACACATTTTTTTTAGGATCAGTGGATATTTGAACAGCATTACCTTCATGTATGAAGTTTATTCTTCAAAGGCTACTTAGTCCACTGTGTGTTTGATTTACTGTACAATATCTCATTTTTTGTCAGAAGTTTTTTTCTATTATTTACTAGTAGGGCAGCGTGGACATTACTGGCTTTTTTAGATTTGTTATTGAATTGTCTGCAGCAGCTCTTGTATAACTGGTGTAGATTGTGGATTCCTTCAATAATTCCACTACTGACTAAGAAAGTGATGTCAGTGATTGTGAGCAACAGAGCTTCATACATTCTGACTCTAGTGATGATGAGTTCTATGGGTTCAAGGAAAACTAGAAGAGTACTCAAACTTTAAAGTCTCTTTTGTTAATGACAGTGATGATGGTTCTTAATGCCACTGTTGACTGCTGTTCACTTTACAAGGTTGAAATACGGTATTACTGTATTCTGTTATAGTTTATTAAATAGTTTAGTAAACCATTTGATTCAGAATATTTTTTTCTTGTTTTCCTCCTCTAAAAACTAGGTGCATCTTATGGCCAGGTGCGTCTTATAGAGCGAAAAATACGGTAATTGCTAAAGCTTGACTCAAAAGGCATACAATTGTACCTCTCTGGAAGAATCAATTTGTTTTCTATTCATATCTTCATTCCTCTTTCATTCTTGTGTGATGTGACTGAAACAAACTTGTTAACATTTCCATATTTTCCCAAACCATACAATGAGTAGATAGTATATACATAAAGTAATATGTATGGACTTTCTGGAAAAAGAACCCCCAAATACTGGCTCAGGAACTTAATTTTGCATAAGCCACAAATTTCAGGGGAGCTCATGTCCATTCTAGAAGCTTCATAGCCTTAGAAGCTTATGCATGATCTATAAATACAAAAGAATAAATAATTTACTATTTACCCTTGAGGAACATGGGTACAATCTTGTATTGTGCTTGGGGAATTGAATCCTTGCCATGAAGAGTTCATCACCCAGGGAAGTAGAGAAGGAAAGTGCATGCATGCATACGGGAAGAGACTGATGTTGAGGATAGAAACAAAGACAGAGATGACAGGTGACGCAATACAGAGTACATTCACTGAAGATTTCAGGACGGTAATTAGGAACAAGAAATTACGAATGGTGTTTGAGTTAAAATATTTGTGGGGACCAGTATCTGGGGCAGAAGAAAGGTCTGATGTAAGACTGCAAGGTAGATGCAGAAAATAGAGGAATGGCATGAAGGAATTAGATTTTCACACAGGACACTGAAGGAAGGCATTATTTTGCTCCAAACCTTCACTTCATCACCATTTTTATACTGAAATACAAAAGAATATTCCTGTTTACTTTTTATATTTGTGATGAAGTGAATTTTCTTTAAGCAAAAAGAAATTCAATACAGTTTCAATACTTCAAAGTTTTATACCACACCATCATGATAAGAAAGCCTGCTCAAACTAATTGGCACTAGATGTTGGCAGAGTGGGTCTAGGTCCTACAATACAGCCTCCAAAGGTTGTTGTCTCAGATTCTGATTAATAAGTAGAGAAATGGCTGGAATCCACAGCTGAAATGCTGACACCAACAGACCCAGAGATAAACCAGGCAGTCCCAGAGAACCAAACATGTTTGATGACATCCAGTCCCAGACTTAGGCAGCAGGTGTCTATGGCATCCAGACCCAGACTTAAGATTAGAGGGCGATAAGGGTGAATGAAGGTTCTTAGCATGATGCAGTAAGGTCAGACATAAAGACAGCATGAGAAACAAGTGAGGGGCAGTTACCTGGTAAGGCCTGGTAGGTCTGCAGATAAAGGCGAGACCAGGCACAAGCAAGGTCAGATACCAAAAGGCACAGTGGGGCCAGAAGCAAAGGCAGAATTGGGAACAGGCAAAGGTCAGACACTGACAAGGCATGGCAGAACCTGTGGTGCAGGCATAGTCAAGAAAAGACATGCTTCCAATACCTGGCAAACCAGAAGTAAGAACAAAACCAGGAGAAGGCAAGAGTCTGGGCAAGACTGGAGCAGAAACACAGTGCAACTACCACAAAGAACCATATAGCTGAGCAGTGCAAGGAAACCTTTTATAGATTTGCCAGCTGCAGTGTATGATTACACAGGTTTCAGACCTTGCAAGTAATAGTTCCCTTAATTGCCTGCCAATAACCATATTATTGGTCTATTATTTTATTTATTTATTTAGCACTTTTATATACCATCGCACTAGCCTTTTGGCTCTCTGGTCAGTTTACATAATAAAACCATAATGAAGCATAAAAGCAACATAACAAACCAAGCAAAACATCTTTACCAATAAACAATAAGACATCCCCATCACAACAGGAGCATCAATCAGGTAATAACATACATTAACATCACAGACTGGATAAATAAAAGATCCCAATTAAAATACCAAAATTACTAATTAAAACATAAGTCAAAATTTAAATTCAAACCTAAAATAGTCAACAATTAAATTGTTCTGCAAATAAAAACATCTTAACTTGGTGCCAAAATATATACAAAAAAGGCACTTGGTGCACATCTCTGGGAAACCAATTCCATAAATGGGGTGACACTTATCTTCTTAAATCCAAACCTTCTATAACAATTCTTTACTACATAAGTGTGGTGACACAACTGCAGGCTCTAGTTCTGAAAAGGGAAGAGAAGATTTCTTTACCTGCCTCACCAACTTCACCTGTGGGCACAGTTCTGATCCTCTAAAAGTTGCTACTACTGCCATGGTGGGGAAGGCTAGTTAATGCCCAGTCTCATTATTTTCTCACACACTACTGAGAGAGGACCTGAATGAAGTAATCCAGTGTAGAGTCTCTGTTTTCATCTCTGAACACCCCGGCTGAAAATTCCACCACAACACTGTCATTCAGAAGTTTCTACCCTTTTAGTATTTCCAGGGTCAGATCCAAAAAAAGTCATTTTCCCCCTACCACTTGCACAGAACTAAGAATTTTACCAGGTATAATTCTCCTTGTAAAAATGCATCAATATGAAAGGTTCCAGGGCATGGGCAGCCAGCTAACAATTAAATGTACCAGGACCCAAGCAAGAGGGCAAGGTGGTACAAGGCCAGAGTACTATCACCAGTCCAAATCATACTTCCAAGTTACAATACCAAACAGGCCAGAATTAAAACCAGGCAAGATCCATACACAGTAAAAGATGGGACACCAGTCCTACTGAACCAGCTTCTGGAGGAAAGAGTTAGTTCTAAAATAGCTCTCCCTCCAGGGCTCCCAGATGATGCTCATGAAGGACATGGCAGCTGCAGCAGAGACTGGAACTAACCCTGCAACTACCAGGGCTGTTATTCTGTTGCTTAGCCCAGCAGGAGGAGCCCTAAAGCTGCCCAGATCCTGACCCAATGATAGCAAAAAGGCATGGCTTGAGGAATTTCCTTTTAAGCAAGCAGGAGATTCAAATGATAAGTCCTGTCAATCTATACATCCCTACAGTAGTCCATCTTCTCTTGCTTGTAGACCCTTCCTGCAATTTGAATCTATCCTTTTCTGGCCTCAAGCCCACATTCTGTTTGGCCAGTTTCTTTTATTCTGTGATGTCTCCATCACCTGCTGTTCTCCCAGCCCTCTGCTTTTCAGTTTTGCTGTTACTGCATTCTGCAACCCCAATTTTCAGCCAGCCATTCAGCTTGCCTTTCTGCGGTGCATTCTTGTACCCTCACACCTGCTTAGTGCCAAGATTATCCAAATCATCCTGTCTTCAGAAGGCCTCTTTTCCACTATCATCCCATTTCCACAAGTTCTTTCATACCTTCCCTCAGGTTCCTAGATTTAAGTTCACTGGCTGCTCTGAAGGCAAGGCTATAATTTAGACACAGAACACACGGTTTGCATACATGAAGTCTGAAGTTTAATTCCTAGGATCTATAGCTAGAATAATCTTAGTGTACAAAGTGGCAGATGTTTCTTCTTTTGTCTTTGCATGTTGTCAGACAGTACTGGACTGCATCAGCCAGACATTTGATCAATGTCCCTCTCCGGAGACCTCTTGAACCTAAGCTTTCAAATCCTCAGTGTTTCACAGTGACAGGCCTCATCTGGCTCCCTTCCATAAATCAAAATTACAATTTTATTTATCTCACAGATTGGGCTATCATGAACATTCTAAAGCTAGCATCGTCTCTCAGTGAACATTCTGTATCAGCTAAATCACCCACTTTATCTCACAAGCCCCTTTATACATGATAGTATAGTTTGCTCCAACACATGCTAACACCTACAGATTATTGTGCAATTTTCTTCTTGTTATTGTCTTTTAAAATACTTCCTCCCTATTTCTCACTGCAAAGCCTCCGTCTTGATAACTTGGACAATTTTAATCATTTTATTTTTTCATAGAAACAATTCTGTTCAAATACTCTTCTCTGAATTTCATCTGAAAGCATGACATATTTGCATTTCCTTTTTTAAAACTGCAAAGAGTAAAACACCTAAATATTTATAAATGATATTCAACTAAGACTTGCCTAAGAAATCATTTGACCTTGTATGACTTGCTTTCCTTCAACAATGGGAAAGGTTTAGGAAGAACAGCAAGAACAGCATGAGTTTTTCAGAATGTCAGTGACTCTCAAAATCATTGTGTGGAAACTCCATGGAGACACCAAATTAATACAGGGAGACAAAATTATCAATTAGATAATTTTCTCTTCCTTCCACTGTGCTCAGTAGACCTTGTTCTGATGAATAGCACATGACTAGAAGTAACACTCTGAATCACAAAGCACCAAACAGGCAACTCGCATTGAAATAAATGTTGTTTTTGCTGCAACAGTAGTTTGGGATCACAGCCAAAATGTTTTTAAACAAACTGTCACTTAAGAAGATCGGTTATCCTTGCATATTATTACCAGCTAAACCAAAACAATGGCATGAATCTCTGCAGGTTCAAAAATGAGTTAAAAACTATTTTATAAATAATTGTCCCACTTCTCTTCCTTATCCTGTCCTATAATTATTCTTCCTATGTTCTAGAATGATTTGCCTGATATTCAAATATAGGGCCAAGTTTAGCCCTGAGTCCACTAATAGAGACACCCATTACAACCTAATCCACAGCATTGCTAAGATAAAATAATATTTTAGTAGATTGTTCTTTATTGAAACAGAGAGAAAATTACAGTTAAGTAGTATGCCTTAAATCAACAAAATCACGGGAGAACACTTTAAAACTCCTGGGTGTCACAATCCAAGCACTGCGGCAAACAATGGTTTATTTTATATTCTCCTTTGTTTTATAAAAGCATTAAGCAAAATCTAATAGTCCTCTGTATGCTTACATGGAAATAATCCCCAATGAGATCAAATCCTAAGGACACTTACTTGAAAGCCTCACTGAAAAACAATTTTAAAAATCAATGGGACATAATCCTAATTGAACATAATTAGGAATGCTAGACACATGAGATAATGCATATCAAGACACTGATAATTTATTTTTGCTGGGCAGTAATGCAGTATTTCAACTTTAACTGAAGAAGGAATACTGGCATCTTCATAAAGTGCTTAATGTTAAAAATACATTGAACGTGTGTAAAAATCTATCCATATCCTGATCTACATATGGATCAGAAACAGAACAATGATCCATATGTGCAAAAGGATCCTGACACTTAAAAAACCTGAATCCAGTACCAGGGGCACAGGCATCACATGCCTCCATCCTATGAATACCAAACAGAAAGTTGGTACTGCAATTTTGACAGTACTAATTCACCTGCTGAGGGGGGTGGTAAACTGATTTTAGGTACTCTTTTATATCTTCCTCTTCCAGCAGGTGATCAAAACTGTCAAAGCTGAGTATCAAACAACTTTTCAGAGATGGGGTTCCTAGCATGCAGCACAAATCTGTAGGATAAATAGACCATCAAGGTCAGCCTCTGACCTCCTTGTTCATAATGGACATTTCTATTTATACTGTGAACCAGAAAATATAAACATACCTTTGTTTTTAAACGACTTCATATCCTCAAATTACTTTCTACTTTTTGTGTTTTTTTGTAAAATTAAATGAGAACAATTGTTCTACTATAAATACTTCTAAAAATAAAACCATCCATATTTCAGTGGCCAACTATTTGTAGACCATATTTATAATGTTTTATTAGGTGTGTGACTTGGTTACATGAAAAGTACCATTCATAAAAGGCTATAAAGCACAAAGAGAAATGTTCAGCAGGACAGCACATTACACACAAATGCGTAACCCCAGCATTTAACTCAAATAGCATGCTTTATAATACATCCAAAGTATTAACATTTCATTTCTTGGGGCACCCTGAAATAGGAAGTTAAGATACCTGAAACACACATTCAGCAGTACATTTCTAGTGACTCATTTACAGATTTCATGTACAAATAAGCATGCCAATCAAAATATTTTAGATTTATTTGAAGGAAGGACGAGACAAGGCAAGTAGCTTTTTCTTAGGCGTGCAGGAATAAGCTACTCCCAGGATTAAAGCTATTCATCTATTCCAGACTCATTCCCTCCAGCTACTATAACTCTGAGTATTCCTGACCATTAGCTATGTTATCTGGGACTGACTGAACTCCAAAGCATATTGACGGCACCAGCTTAGGAAAGGCTGCTCTGTAATATTTAGTCAGCTGAATTTACTGCAATGTTGTTGAAAGTACCAGCTAATGGGAGCAATGCAGACAAACTGAAGCACTTCTAAATCTGATACGAATGAGGATGAATTATCACCATGTACAGTATCTTGGTGGCATTCTTGGTGGCTCCATCATCCTTTTCCCCACTCTCCCCTTGTGTAATTACAATTGCAAGGGAGGAGAACAACAGGAAGGATCTAGTGCTAATTGCAATATATATTAAAATATTCTGGCTTGCATGCATACCTCATATTTGAGTATGTGCTTTTCTGAAAGGAAAAGAAAATTCTTAAGGATGATTCATGCACAAAAACCCATTACCATGCAGGGAGAATCACTTTCAGCTATGAGTATCTCACTGAATTCATTAAGTCTTACTCCAAAGTAAGATAGGATTGCAGCCTCCAATTACAGAAGTTTGTCTTAACAACATGCTTGTTTTATGGTATGGTGGTATAATACGCAATGGGGAAAATAATTATTTACTCAGAATTCTGAGGTGTGGGAAACTTGGAAATGAAGTTCTCCTCTTCCATAGAAATAGCACATTAAAGAATTAGCTTAGGAAGATGCTTGGACAGAAGTGAACCATATCAGAAGTGTAACTAGTCTTAACAGTGTAAACAAAGCACTGTGAAAGCCTGGCTGTCATGATTTCATTATATGATATAGTAGTAACATTGCAAACTTTGTTATGTTAAATATTAGCTTAAATGAGCCAAACCTGATATAAAGCAATAGTGTGTCCATATCGCTGAAGAGGTCCTTTGGATACAGGGACTACATTCCAGATGCTGCTTTCCAAATTATAGCTAAAAAGGTAAAAATAAAGTTTATCAGGTGAGAAAGATTATCTGTTCTTGAAAACAAACTTTTTTGTTTATTCACTGTATTATTAGTACATTGCGTTGACACCATTGTATTCACTGTATAATTTCAATTCTTTCTCTCAGAAATAAAACCTTCCATTTAAAGCCACATTTTATCTATTTACCTTTATCCTTTGTAGTTATAAATCAGCATTTTTAATTAAATGCTGCTGAGAGCCAGATGCCTGCCTACCATGACTGCACCTGTCACTCTGGTTTTGTCTGAAGTAACTCCAAATGCGCCAGAGATTTGAAAAAAGAGTGTTAGTCTTGTATTGCAACTTCTATGAATGGGTTCAAACCATGCTGTGGAGGTTTCATCTTATCCTCTTCCACAGAAGCCACTCATCCAAAACTCTGCAGGTTAGGGTTAGGGGACCGTATGGGATGTTGTGTATGGAAGGCCAATCTACCATCAGATTTCCTGAGTGAGATTATGCATCCCAATTTGCTTTAGTTTCTTCCCTCAAACCCTCTCCCTCCCCCACAACAGATAACAACTAATTCACATAAAAATAATAACAGGAGAGAGAAAGAAATGACTTACTTTAGTACCATCTGGAATGTACTATAATTAAATGCATATCCACCAATCACCCACATAAACTTTCCATGCAGAATTGCCTTATGAGAAGCCCGGCTTACAGATGGACTAAATGGTTTTACATTAGGTAGAATCCAATATGATTCCATGGAAGGAACATTCAAAGAACAATCAGGACCTGTTTAAAAAGAGAGGAGTTACTACCAAAGAGTATAGTCCATTAGAAAAATTACTGGAAAATAAGTGTAAGATTAGAAAGAAAAGTTCAACTACAGCCACAGATCTCCTGAAGATCATTATATACATAAATATAGTATTTGCAAGATAGTGTTTGTTGCCAGGACAGTGGGTGGAAAGGCAGGATTCTACAAGGCAATATGGACAATCATTGTAGAAAGTTATATGGTGTTTAACATCTAGAACTCCCCAAAAACCAGAACTTTATGAGCACAGGAACGTTACATTTATATGATTTTTAGAAACGTTGAGGTCAGTTCAGAGGCATGCAGCCACCCAGATGCTATTGGACTGAAACTCTCATCATCCCTAGCTATCAAACTCAGTGGTGAGGTATGATGGGAGCTGCGGTCTGACAATATCTGGAGGGCCACATGTTACCCATCGCTGCATTGAGGTGTGTTGGTACTGCAGACAAAGAAAGAAACACATTCCTACTGAAGTTTTAAAAATTCAACGCATTCCTTTCAAAATCACATTGCACTTAAAGAGGAACAAGCTTTAGAATATTGGGGTATAAATTAAAATTCATTTGTTCACTGAAAGAAAAGGCAAACAATAATGGGTTGAATGCAGCCTTAATGATGCTATACAGACCCATTGAAACAGTGATGCGATTTACTTGCTCCATTGATTTCAACAGGACCAATGTAAGTATAACTAAATCCCACTGCAATCTAAATAGTTGAAGAGAGACATTCCTATAAGGCTCTAAACAGCTTGGGTCCTGGATACCTGAAGGAGCGCCTTCTTCCCTATGTGCCAGCCCACCCCCCTGAGATCGGAGGCAGAGGCCCTTCTGCAGGAACCCTCCTTGAAGGAAATTAGGAGGGTAGTTACTTGGAGAAGGGCCCTTTCAGTGGCAGCGCCCCGACTGTGGAACACGCTCCCCAGGGAGGTTGGCCTGGTGCCATCACTCTATTCTTTTCAGTGTCAGGTGAAGATCTTGTTATTCCCTCAGTATTTTAATGATCAATTGTTTTTATCCTTGTTTTTACTACTATTTTAGATGCAATGTACTGGGTGTTGTGTTACAGTTTTGTTCTTGGTTTTCTGTTCCTTGTAAGAACAGGAACTGTCCAGAGTCTTTTAAGTAATGGACAGCATAGGAAAAAATTAAATGAATGAATGTAACACTACACTTATGAAAATTTGACTGACATTTTGTCCATTTTTTAACAAAGTTGATTTCTTAATTATACAAACATATTTAATTTCCATACCATCCAACAGAAGAAAATTTCTGGGTAGTTTACAACAATCCATTAAAACGCTGTCTAAAATGAATTTAGTACCCTAGAAGGCTGACTACGGACCAATTCCCCTAAAGCAAGCAATCATTCTTTATTAACAATTTAGAAAGACTAATTTTGAACAGTACAGGGAAATACAATACTTCCTCTTCTCCTTGGCAACCTCAAAACAGATTCTTAAAAAACAAAATCAAAAAACTATAGTTCACTGTTCTTTGATGTTGAGCATTCTAGGCTTTCACCACTTGTGCAACATGGAGCTAGAAATGCTTCTTTCCAGAATGGAGCAAACTAGAGGAGCCCACCCGAGGTAGCTCTCCTGACCAGGAAACAAATGCTCTGAGGCTTGCCTTAGGCAGTGTTGTGAATTCGTAAGGATTTCCCTATCCTACATATCAAGAGGAGATATTTCTAATTACAATCTATTATGCTAAAGTGGGACAGCCACCATTGACTATGTGATACAAAGAGGGTAATGTAAAAGTCTTTAGCAAGAAAAGGTACTGCTTTATGCTAGAAGCTGCTTCCAAACTGAATCCCCTTCCTCGCTTCCCCAGAAAAGGGAGTTAAGCTACACCTTCAAGGAGGTCCCCACTACTTGTGAGCCAGACTGGGGTTGAAGCTTGCACATTACTTCATTGGCTAGCCTTCTTGACCTGCCATCAAACAAAGGAACCATTTTAGTTATATCCCTTCCCATTCCATAGTGTCTTTCCCCTTATCAGAGGTGAGCTGCTTCTCACCACCTGCTTGGCTTATTTCAAAGCTTTCTGACCTTGGCATTTCAGCTAAAGATTCTAACCTTGCATCTTGTTCCAGTCTAGATTTAGAGTCTGAGTTTTCAACCTTGGAAGCTGAATTCTGGGAACAGTTCCTACAGGCAGTACTATCTCCCTAACACACTAACTGTGGGTCCTATTGGCACACAAGAACGAGCAGGAGTGCATCATGTTTAAATAAATTGGTTGAAGTAACTTTCCAGTTGAATGCATTACCACTGATGCAATTTATAACTTCAGTCAGTAGCTTAACTACTACTAAGGAGGGGTGCTGGGGAATTTTCCCCAGTGACAACTTGGGTATGAATACAAAAATATTTAAAATGATCAAAATATTAAAACAATGTAATTATTTGTGGCCTACATATTTTCAAGACTGCAAGTGAAAGCTTCCTGGGAGCAGAAAGATAAAAAGAACACCGCACTCCAAAAGACATAGACCCTTTCCAGGTGCTTCCACACTGCCCAGGAAGAAGAAGAAAAGATACCATGAGAAACAGCTACAGGTATCACAAGAAACAGCAGGGACACTTACAAGGACAAGCATGACCCAATGGTTGGACAACACAGCCTCTTCAACCAGGCTTGCCCACTTCATATTTTTCTAAACCCGTGCACAGACACCATTGGTCCCAAAGCGCCTTCTGGTCCCCAGAGGAGAAATGCTTACTTTGGGGATCAGTTCCCAACCACATGTATTTATTTGACACATTTATATGCTGCCCCCTTCGCAAAAGCCTCGGGGCGGCTTCCAAACAAATAAATAACTATACATTTACATTAAAAATCTGGGAACATCCTGGCATAGAATAAAATCAATAAATACAATCAACAATTAAAATATTGTTTAAATAAAAAGGTCTTGGCCTGGCACCAAAAAACAAATAACATCTTGGAAAGGAAAGCCTCCTCTTCTTTCCTGTGCTGCTTTGAAAACTGTAAAACTACAGTAGAGTTGCAGTTTACTGACAGTGCAGCATCTTCTGCCTGCAATAGCTGAGTGCAACAACAACTCGCATTACATCTGAAGGACTTCCCAAAGGCTAGGCATGATGAAAATTTCATTCTATCCCCATCATCTCAAGCAGAAAATGAGAACGAAGACAGATCTCATTCACTTTTCAAACAAGCCTTGTCTATCAAAAAGAAGGCATGATGGAGTGACTGCCTTTTATTATCCTGTGTTGGTGTGACTGGGTGGATTAGGATGGATTCTTGAATGGTCCAAACAAATATCAAGCTTCTTCCCCTAAGAAGTGTCAGTGTTCAGTTGGAGAAAGAAAAGTATGCAAGATTCACATACAACAAAGAAAGAGCCGTGACTTTGTCTTAAGCAGTAGCCAAATATCAGTGAGTTATTACCTAAACTTGCATACCAAGCACTTCTGTATATTTTATTAAATAATTAATAATGTCAATAAAGATGACTCTAAAATGAGTCTAAAAATATTTATGTCTCACTGGTCCTTTCTGAACAGGCTTACAACAAACACTAAGAGCAGCTCTTAAACATTATATCAAAGATAAACCTTGCTAATACCACAGAAAAAAGTCAATCCAAACAAGTATGTTTATATATGCAACCAACAGTCACATGAAACTTGTCAGCAAGAAGTTGTTTAAAAGGTCAACTGCATTCTTTCATTTCTACATGATATGCTTAATTCCTGAAATGACCAAGTTTAATTTTCATTCTGTTTTCCCTTATGTTTAATATCAAATTCTAGAGACAAATGAAAGATGCATTTTAATATTAATTTGAGCTTAAATGTGAGATATTTTGTGAAGAACAGTGACACCAAGTGGTAAATTATACACAAAGCCTATAACCTTGAAACACAACAAGAGAAGGAATGTATTTTAGTGAAAATTGCCTTATTTTAAAAGTGGTAATTCTAATTCCTTCTTTGTTCATTCACTAAAATACTCAGGTAAGATGTATTTCCATCATATGTTGGATGGAATGCTTTACAGTGAATGGTAGGTGCCATTGAGTTGTCTTTGATATGGTGCACCTGTCAATGCATTCCCTCCAAAATGGCCTGCACTTGACAGCCATACTTTTGTGAGCTCAAGCCTGTGGCTTCCTTTACCTCAATATTTAGCCTCCCTTTACTTCTTTTGCCTCCAACTTTCCCTAGCATTTTTATCCTCTGCAATGAGTCTTGAGTTTTCATGATGTTCCAAAAGGACAGCAGTTTCAGTTTCATTAGTTTTTCTGGCTTGCTTTGATCAAGGTCCAGGTTATTCACAAAGCTCTCCCACAGCACCATGTTTTGAATGCTTCAGTCATTTTCTTCTCAGCTTTCTTCACTGTCCAGGTTTCACACCCATATATAGTGATAGGGAATACAAGTGTGGATGATCCTGGTCTTGGTCTTTAGTGAAACATACTTACACTTGATTTTTCATATATATATATATGGAAAACTAGAGAACACAAAAATGTGTTGCACTTTGTAATTTAGCCAGAGAAAACTGTACTGTTTGGTCTGGAGCGGGGGGGGGGGATCACTAAAATATCCAAATATGAAAATATCCAGAGTACAACACTTAATGACATGTTAAGCAACAGTATACCTAACAGCCCACTTGTGCGACTTGCATCATTTTGAATTCATTAACCATTGTCCCATAACTGTGCATGTGCACCTTCAGAAGTAGACATAGCTTCATATGATGGGCACCATACAGACAAAATGAGCAGAGTTCCATTGAGAAAAGTGCCTAGAATCCAGGCGTGCTCTGAATGCCTTTACAGTGCTTTGGCGTTTTCCAGCATGAAGCTTGGTATCCAGATAGCCAAATCTTTTGCAGCTTGAATATACTTTGCTTCTGTGCCCCATTTAATCATTTCTGTACTGTATCACTAAGCATGTAACATTTGCCAAAAAGCTCTTGGTTGTATC